ATCATTAAACTTTAAATGTATAGACATATTATCCCGATTAATTGTATCAAATTTTAACACTTTAGTCTTTTTCAGATTTAGAGACAGGTCATTACATGCAAACCAATGGCTTAAAGAATTCAACACAATGTTAGACCTTTATTGGATTTCATCAAGAATGCCTGATACTAATATGCGTGTATCGTCTGCATACAACAATAACGTATTATCAGTATTTAATGCTGATGACAGGTCATTGATATATAAAAGAAACAGCAAGGGACCCAAAATCGAGCCCTGCGGCACTCCATATTCAACAATCTCCCATCCTGAACAACATTTTTCATTCCCATTAGTATATAATTCCACTCTTTGCCTTCTATTTCCCAAATATGACTTCAACCACGTTAAAGTTTTACCACCAAGTCCATATGCTGCCAACTTGCTCAAAAGGATATCGTGAACCACACAATCAAATGCCTTTGTCAAATCACAGAAAATTCCTAATGAATGACAGCACTGTTCCAAAGTTTCTAATATGTGATTAGTTACGGCACAGATTGCAGTTTCCGTACTTCTTTTTTTTCCTCTCTCTCCTTTTTTCCTTAGCACTACAGCCCCAGTGGGCCTATGCCTACCTCCATGAACTCCGTTTTCACTTCGGTTTTTCTAGATCTTACACATACGGTAGGACTCCTTTGGCGAGTGATCAGCTCATTGCAAGGCCTCTACCTGTAGACAAACACAGAAAAACGCACACAAACATCCATGCCCTGTGTGGGATTCGAACCCACGATCCCGGCTTCCAAGCGAGCGAAAACAGTGCATGCCTTAGACCGCTCAGCTACCGTGACCGGCTTCTGTACTTCTATTTTCTCTAAATCCAAACTGAGCAGATGAAATTAGATTATTTGTATGTAAGTGCTGCTTTATCCTGTTATACATCGCTTTTTCAAATATCTTGGAGAAGATTATTAACAGTGATATTGGTCTATAATTTTCAAAACATTTGCACACTAAAAGGAGCCTTGCAAACAAAACTGCGAATATTTAAATAAAATGATGTAAGACAATATCAAGACCTATTTATTTCATATGGGGCAGAAACTTTGACATTAAAACAAGAAAATAAGAGCTGAAATTAATGAAATGCACATTTTTGCAGAAGACACACTTTGAGTTTAAAGAAAGCATGAAGATAATAAAAAGGAGTTATATTTCTGAATACTGAAATAACACGTTGGAACAAAAGAATGGAAGAAAACTGGATCCCAGAGTTTCTAAATAAATTCTGGAAGGCCAATAACATACTGATGGGTTAGAATAGATTTAAGTGAGGGCAGAAGAGCCTGTTGGGCCTAATCTGTGAACATGATGATGGTGCAGACAACAATGGGCAATTATAATCTTACACACAGTATTAAAAAAGTACATTTGATTTACACATGACATCTGATACATGCAGGACCAGAGGACCATGAACTGTTGTTAATCAAGCAATGTCAGCTAAATGACAAGGTGATATAAGAGCTTGAACAGTGACTTTTTTTTTTTTTTTTTCAAAATCTGTGTGCCTTCTTATAATCTTAATACCTATAAATTCATTCAAAATATTTTGCTCTCAGGAAAATGTACTCAGATCAGTAGAACAAGCTTTAAAACGATTTCAAGTGAATGAAACTTACACATGGTAAAATTCATGTGAAAAAAGTGCCATATATTCAGTTTCATCACGAAATATATATATACACTCAAAAGTCACATATAAGGTTAATTCTGGCCCTTATGATAACTCAAACTAAACCAGGACGAAACTGACTTAATATTTTGTGTAGATCTATTACGCTGACTTTATTCAATAACAGGACCAGAGTTTAGGACACTTGATAAAATAGGTTTTCTATATTAAAAAAACACTTTCTTCTTCAGAAGAAAGATAATAAAGCAAAATCAAAAGAAGGAAAACCTTCCAAACTAATTGATATTCAGTTTATTAAAATTAAATTTGAAGATGATGCTTGTTCATGGAAAACAGAACACACCAACATATATTTTATTACCTGAATTGTGTAATGCATTTTCATATACAGAAATGGTGTCATCAGAAAGATAATAACTGATGACAAACTGACGATCCTTATCTGCTGGAATTTTGGAGACCAATTCAGCTCTGAATCGTAGAGTGTGGCTAGTTAAACCTTGCCTGTAATATAATGTACGAGCCCTTTAACTTAGGGTCTTCAAGGATGATGCATATCCCTATGGCTTCCATTATAACTTCTGAATCAAACTACAGTGTACTAAACAATCTAACAAAACAAAAATATGTAAGATTTTAAGGTTTTCATGGTGGTGACTATGAAGAAAGCAGTCTTATGGGATTTGGCACTGTGTAGATATTGTGTTAACCGATGTTTCAGAGGAACAAAAATAAAACACACTCATGTTACACTTGGTGCAAATTTATAAATGGAAAATATAGCAGTGTAGATGGCAAGTCATAAAGGTTGATTACCAGTCCTTGTAATTACCATGGAAACTAAGTCCACTCTTTCCAGCTACTTCCTGCAGAGAATAATATGAACAGAGAAACGTGTGAAATGTGGCTTTAAATATCAGTTCAATCCTAATATTGGTTAACTTTCCCTTTGTAACCCATAAATTTAGAGCAATACAAAAGGGTTCACTACTGGACTCCACACGAAGCCAGCTCAAACTATTCTACATGATTTTTGACCATTTATACACCATTCTCCCACCTCCAGCATGATATTCCAGTGGTCACTATGCACGTATTTTACCTTGAAAATAGTGTAAAATACAAATTGTGAGCATCATGATATTAATGAGAGAATAAAATAACACATCCTTTTTTTGTGGATCATTTTACGACAGTTTCATTAGCTAGACCATACAGCATTGACTGGTAGGATGACTGATGAATTGGAAAGGATTTGGAAGGGAGAGATCATAGCCTAATCAAAGTAGCATCCCAGAATTTGCCTGGAGGGACTGAGGGGAATTATGAAAACCTGTCATGACTGCTGGTGTCCTGGGTGAAATCTGAACTGGGTACACCCAAAATACAACTCTACAGAGTTACCATCAGACCAACCAGTTCAGTAAGAAATGGTGAAGCCTACATCTAACAGAGTACATACAACTAGGAATATTACTGATCAGGCTCCAAAGAATCCTCTATTTTTATAGTGTGGACTGATTACAGTCATATATCTTGTAACAGAAACGAGTACGGTCACAAACAGCACCTGAATATTTATCGGCAGTATGGGTGTCATAACCATATACTTGATCAGTACTGTGTACTGGCAGCTTGAGAACAACTGATGTAAATGGTTTTAGTTCTCCTTAAGAAGTACGTGTATCGAACTACACAAGAATACCTGTCTTTGCTAAAAAACTTATTGAAGTCTCAATGTGGTGGAACTGGTATATTTCTGCAGTTGGCTGCTGAATCTTCATATGTGCCATAGCCATTGTATGGAGGCAATGGATGTGGTTCTTGTTTTATCACAACTCCATTATCTGGTCTTAGATGTTCATGTGGTGTGAAATCATCTGCAGTGAATATTGCAAAAAATGAACAGCTTGTTACTTGCAGTCTAAAATTGAATGTCAATAACTTGTAAGGAATGAAAGTGATAATAAACAGCAAAGTTGTCTTCAGGAACTGGGGGATCTTAGTTGGGTGGCTGATGTTATAGTGACACATTTCAAGTGAGCTGTGTCAGCTGGTATTGTGTATGTTGCACCACACAGAAAATGTCTGATGCTACAACATCCTTGTAACATGCACTTTTTTAAGTCAAAAAATAACCTCCATTATACAACATCTGAAGTACCTCCTTGTAATTTATTCACCTTTAAAGGGGAGCTCAGACAGTTAGTCACTGGCTTTTCACAGCAGAGGCCCAGGTCCAATTCCAGTGTAGTCCATGTTGTATTTAGGGTCAATGGAAAAAGTGGCACTGGGGCTGGATTTTCTCAGAGAATTTCAATGTTGGCATGCTGATTATCATTCCACCAATGCTCCATTCTCTCATCTATTACCAAAGGTTGGTATAAAAGATTCATTTGCAGCTATAGTGCTGAAGGGCTCTTGTCTTACTCCACCCCAATATTAAAAAAATAAACCCTTTAAAGGACAAAGCTGATCTGAATATCTAAAATTTTGGTTCTTACCTTCAAGAAAGCACGCTGCATATCTACTATGAAGTAAATTCAGCTAATGACATTCAGGCAAATTATCACTGTTTATTCTGAAAACCTGAACTAACAAATATTTTCTCTAGGCAAAATTTTAAGATTTGTAATGATGAACCAAGTGGATTATATATCTCTCCATTAAGGGATTAGTCCTGTAATTACAATGCCAAGGATTCATAAATTTATGATGGGCCCTTAATTCTAGCAATGAGATAAATGAAATGTTAAGTCTATGTTATTTCCACCTTCTTTCTCTAAAGATGCGCTTTACTAAGTTACCAGCATTAATATTACCTCCATCTTCTATTTATGTCACAGCCTGTAGCCATGTTCTACTTGTTAAAACAGGTTTCAGCAGAAGTAACTGAGTGGGAATAATTTCTTTCAGTTTTTATTTTGCTGGAAGCCTTCTGGGTAAATTTTTATTATAGAAATTTTATGCTTTCCAGTGCAAATACAATTGGAGGTGTTGCATTAATAAATGTTAATTTGTTTATGGAATGTCATTACATTAGTTTACCTTATTGTGCATATCTAGAGAGATAAGATTCTTTGTTTCTATTTATCAGGACTTGTAGGAAACAGAATCTGGAGTCGCTTCACATGCACATGAACACACAAGAGTAAAAATACAAATGTTTAATATATCTTGACCAAATCAACGCTTTCTTGGTGTGGGAATTTAATGATAATTTTATTTACTGTGACTGCAGACTATAATGTGATAAAATAAATCAGAGCTTAGACACTTTCAGGAGATAACAGTCTTTCTTTCCATAGAACTACTGATGTAATATGTATGTGAGTCAAATGAAAACTGTAAAACTGAGATAAAAATTCTAAATATCGCACCACTGTCCTATAAGTTGGCATACATGTTACCAATGCTATAAAGAGTATCCTATAGGAGGCAGTATAATGCAGGCAAACAGAACGCCATCACGTTGCCGGTTTGAAGATGGCTGCTCCAATACGTACATGCACGAAAGAAGAACAACGTTCTGTAATTGGGTGCGCNAATTTCAATGTTGGCATGCTGATTATCATTCCACCAATGCTCCATTTAATTTAATTATAATTTTATTCAATGTGATTGCAGACTATAATGTGATAAAATAAATCAGAGCTTAGACACTTTCAGGAGATAACAGTCTTTCTTTCCATAGAACTACTGATGTAATATGTATGTGAGTCAAATGAAAACTGTAAAACTGAGATAAAAATTCTAAATATCGCACCACTGTCCTATAAGTTGGTAGACATGTTACCAATGCTATAAAGAGTATCCTATAGGAGGCAGTATAATGCAGGCAAACAGAACGCCATCACGTTGCCGGTTTGAAGATGGCTGCTCCAATACGTACATGCACGAAAGAAGAACAACGTTCTGTAATTGGGTGCGCTACCACCAACTGGAAACAAAGAGAATGACCAAGGAATGGCGTCATTCCTCATCACCCAAACCCAAGAAGTTCTGGACGCAGCCATCTGCAGGGAAGATTATGCTGACTCTCTTTTGAGACAAACGAGGCGTACTCTTTGAGCACTACATGCCTTGGGGGAACACTGTCACCAGTGCCTCATATTCAGATCTCTTGAAGAATAATCTTCTACCTGCAGTCCGATCAAAGTGACATGGACTTTTGACTAGAGGTGTCCTTTTGCAACATGACAATGCTCGGCTCCATATTGCCTGTGCAACAGTTGCAAGAATCCAAGACTTGCACTCTGAGTGTCTTCCACATCTGCCATACTCACCAGACCTAGCCCCAAGTGATTAAAACATGTTTGGGTCACTCAAAGAGGCGATGGGAGGAAAGAAGTTCCGTTCTGATGAAAAGGTACAGCAGGCAGTGCATGAGTGGTTGTGCAGACAACCACAAGATTTTTTTTCTAGAGGAATCAATACACTTTGTAAACACTGGAGGGCCTATATTGAACGAAATGGAGACTATGTAGAAAAATGATATAGTTGTGTACCGTTTTCATTCAATAAATTAAATTTAAATTTTTTTTTATAGTTTTCATTTGACTCACCCTCGTATATTCTTCTGCTGAGTCTGAATTAGAATTCAACTTAAAATTCATTTACATTCCACAGACCAATACAAAATAACAATCACTTACATTCCTACTTTAGTATAACTTTCATATCAAGACTTATTATATTGTTTAAATTACCATTTACATCTCAACTTCAGTGTAATTTTAATGTCAATACTTATTATACAATTTAAACTGTATGTAAATGTTTAAAAATTCATATATTTTTGCTGCCCACAAAGTACTTCTTTCTGTTTCTGCTTCTGTTCTTTAGCTGGGATGTTCTCAGCTCATTTATCACACCTGCTACTTTGGTATTCTTACAAAACAGCATCCTTTTATATACTTAGCTACTATGACTATTTGCAATGCTATTAAAATTAACAAATTAGGAATATTAGAGAACTTCATAAACACTATAAACATATAATTACATACTGATTTTGGCAGCATCTGTAGCAGGATCAACTCTATGTCATACTATGAACTGATCATGTTTCATTGTAACACCTGTATAGTTCTCTCAGGCAAGACTGGATAAGTTATGTAATCAGAGTGTTAATGAAAGGAATGTTTGTTAATAGGGTCTCCTGAAGGTGTTTACTGGAAGTGACTGAATGAGGGCGANTGTAACCAGAGTGTTAATGAAAGGAATGTTTGTTAATAGGGTCTCCAGAAGGTGTGTTTACTGGAAGGGACTGAACAAGGGTGAGGGGAAAAATGTTAGGAAATAAACATGCATGCTTTGGCGAAGTTTGTTGGAAGTTGTGTCATCATCCAACACTGAGCAAGACTGCCATGTTACTGTCAGAAAATTATTGGGTTCTATTTTCTACTAATACACTAACGGGAAATTCAAACACACAAACCAATACTTGGCTCACAAGATTGTACATGGAGCTGCATTATTAGTCATGATGTTGAAAGATTACTAATTAAATTCTGGATGTAATTTTGTATCTCAAAGACATAAGTGCTGGTGTCCACGTAACTCTACCACCTCTTCAGACCTTATGCCTCTGACTTACATAATTATTAAATGCTTAGTACCATACCTCACTTTTATGTTGAATTACTACTACCAACATATATTTATTTAGGAATAGTGTTTCTTCACCTGTTAAACTTCAAAGGATATTTCATAATGAACATAAATGAAATATGAAACACTATTGTTCCCATTGTTTCTTGGACACAATAGGCTTATAATGTTGCCTTATCATAATTTATCTGTAAAATATTTACAACTTTCATGATTAAATATAATATTCACATGCAAAGTGCCTTAGTGCCTTTACCTTAGGTAGCTTAGACCTCTTCAAAAACATGAAGCCCGAGTCATGACCAGAATTTGGTGGAATAATCTCCTTAATCTCAATAGTATCATCAGCCAAGTAATAATATATTTCAAGATCATGTAACACTCCATGCAGACTCTCACGATCATCCCAGTAGCCATAGAATCTCAGCACTTTACGATCAAAATCAAGAAACTGACCCAACTTGTTAAAGGTTCTGTTAGGCTTCTTTGGTGCCATTCCCTCAGACAGCTGATGGAAAAGTAAAATGAGTAACATTGCAATGTGTTTGAAATTACATGACACTTAATTCACCACTGTAGTACTGCTGAAGGTTTAGACCTCATACATATAAGCACCCAAAAATTAACAGAAATACAATACCTCTAAAAACCAAACAAAAGAAACATACAAAGATTTACAAAAATGAAAATTATTAGCACAAATACTAAGGAATACCAAACAGTACTTTGCAGCATTAGCTCAAACATTCTTCTTTTATCTTTCAACATATAAATTATAATATGGAATACATAATAAGCAAAGACTGAAACAAACTGTTTGAATATTAATAAATAGTTCTACTTACAGCTGTACATTCAGTTCTTTGGCACTTAGGAATTATTATGTAGCTCTGTTATTTTGGAAACACAGAAATATAGTCATAAGCTTCTAAAGTCCAAGCCACTTCTGATATATTGAAATCAAGTTTGTACAACTTAACCCTACTGCTATGATATTCAACTGAAATTGAACACGAATCCCTTACTGTGCACTGTGACATGTGCCTTTAGCCCTCGTTAAGAAATCATCTCCTTTTGCTGCCTCGCTTGATTTCATTCAGTGGGTTGTGGCATTTTTTCATACTTTGTCTTCAAATTGCATTATTTTATGAATTAGCAAGAAAATGATATGCAGCGAAAGGGTTAACAACAGAACTTCAGGAACCCTCTTCAAATGGTGATCCCAGACATTTGCAAGGCAAATCATAAATCTACAGTTGACAACAGGGAGTTAATAAAAAGGATACTGAAGAGTTTCTTTCCAATGGTATTATGAATGTACTATATTTCTAAAAAATCTGGTAATTAATGTCTCTAATATACATGTAGAAGTCTGAATTTTAAATGGGGGAAGGACAGACACATGCAGCTTGCTGACAGGGTTCCCTTTGGAACTATGGTGACTTCAGACTTTAAAGAACAAATCTTATTTCAGAATCAGCCAAAACTGTATCAATACCTACTGGGGCAATAAACTCACCTTTTCTTGCTGTACCATATAAGGATCAGGTGGGATATTAATGGGGTCAGGTACATGAATTCCAGTTCTATTAAGGAAAGCTCTGGTAAATCTATCACAGTTTGTGATCTTATATACTCGTCCATATAGCTCGACTTCTTTTCCAATGTTGAAGTCAAGAATGTCATAGAAGTCTTCATTCCATGGAGTGGGAAATGGAATCTTCTGACGGCTGATTAATGTTCCTTGAGGAATACCACTATTGTTGACTGTGGGTTCCACAATTTGAATTGTTCCATCTTCCATAAAGAAGAAAATCTTCACTTTTCGAATATAATAAGGATAATCCAGCCTTTCTTGGGATGTTTCTTGGAAGAAACCTTCAAAACACAACACCTACATTGTGGGGAAAAATTAGTCCCATGCATACAATCAAATCAAACATACATATGCTTTCCTTAAGTACTATCATTATGAAGCTATCCCTGTAACAGGACGTGCAGGCCCATAGGGTTGTGAGATGTCGATGCTCCCACATTTCCTCTATAAGATCAGCTCATAGATGGCAGTAAGGTTGTCAGACTTATGCGCTGGCCACCCTTTACCCTCCCAAAAGATTCCTGGTACTCATTTCTGTTAGAGGCTGAGTTGACCACAGGGCCATAGTGCAGCTGGAAGGATTAAGTAAATTGGAAAAAAAAAAAAAATCCACCTCATTGGGGCTTGAAGCTGTGACATACCGGCTTGTAGCATAGTGCCTTAACCACCTACACTATCCTGGGATAGCAACTGGCTATGGGTTGATGACCAAGGGGTCAGAGTTCGAGTCCCAGTGGGGGAAAGAATTTTCATTTCTCCATCTTGTCCAGACCAGCTATGGGGTCTACCCAACCTCCTATCCAACAGGTACCGGGCACGCTTTCCCCAGGGGTAAAGCGGCAGTGGCGTGAAGCTGACCACTCACCTCCAACTAGAGACAAGGTCAAGAAAATGTGGTTCTATACATCAACTTCCCCATATGTCATCATGGTGTATTGCTTAATTAGCTAAGCACAGGGGCAACTTTTACTATCATTATGAAAATAAATTAATTTCTGATACAATGTATCACTTGAGAAAGTTCTGAATACAAGAAAACACGGTAAAATTCATTCCAAAGTGTATAGAATGTGCTACATTCACAGTCATCTGGATAACAGTTGCAGGAACGAATGGAAAACAATAACAATGCACTAACTGACTAATTAAACTCTATGATACATGGGCCTTCTTGAGCGGTTCAGGTTATTCCCTACTGTTATGGATCCTGAAGTTTCAACATGTCATCACAGAAGCCTATCATTAAGCCAATTCAGTATTAGTTATAAGATAAATTTTAATATTATCCTTCTATCTAGAGTTCACTGCATTAAAATTGTTGACTGGGATGCAAGATATTCTATAAATTCTGATGAATGTAGAGAAGTGATAGGAAATGGCACCGTAAGAAATTATTAATTCTGGTGCATAGGAGCTCAACATACAATCAACAACAATAAGACATGTTTATGCTGACATTCAAAAAAGAATATAGTGCAAAGTGGAACACGTCACTAAATAACATGGTTAAAATTCCAGTATTACCTGATCTTGGTTTTTTAAATAGGGAGACGGAACTTAACAAGGAGCTTAAATCAGTGTCTTTGAGTACGTTTCATTTGAATATTGGATGGTATTGGCTATCCTATGCAATATTTTTCATTGTTTTCATCAGAATCCCCATGATAATTCCAAAATATACCTGAACATATGTTTATTAACTTTCTTTTTACATTTTATATATATTTTGTACTGCCCCATCATTTACAGAATTTCTTTACAAGATGTAATGAACTCATAACTCAGCAGGTTAAACAATTTGTGTACATCCCAGAAATAGTCTAGCAACTGTAACCCCTCTAATCCATAACTTCAGTTAACCTTTCACAAGCCATTTTCAGACTTAATCAAGAAGACAGCTGCAATGTATGCTGAAATGTTGGAACAGATTCAACATACAATGTGGCCATAACAAACAGCTGAAGTTACATCATATACAGTTATTTTGTCATATCACATGCATAAAAAAGTGTCAATGTTATCAACACAAACCTGTTTATCAAATGCAATCCACGCTGGAAGCTCAGTGACTTCTCCTCTTGCTAACATGGAAGGAAACTTCTTTGGTTTTGTGTAGGGCAGGGGCACACCTCCAATGCCAGGTTTAATTTTCTCTGATAGAACAGGCATATTATTAATACATTCAAAATGTTGTGATTTGTGAAATTTTGTTTGTCCAATCTGAAAAAATAATATTTATCTGAAGTTATTAAATCAATTAACAATATACAGCTAATTACTCTTAAGAAGCAGACCAGTTTATCTTCCCAGTGTTCAAATTTATGTTTTCACATTTGGAAGCTGTATAATTATTTATGCATGAAAATATTACAAACAATAGTCTGAAAAGAAAAGCTTCACAAGAAGCATAATTCCTGCCTGCACAGCTATGGATTACTGCAATGAAAACATCTTTATCAAGGAAAAACGGACTGGGTATAATGTAAAACGTTAAAGGAATATTCTAAACAAACAAAATTCATTTAAAGGTAAAACGAAAACAGTAAATCCAAACGTGAGGGACTAAACGCATGTCTAGTCACCTGTGACTCAGCTTTTGAAGAGAATTTCAAGGTGCAAGTCAATGACATCCCCTTCTTCAACCTCTTCTATGAAATGATAATCTAGCACATGTATCGGCAACTTAGAACTCAAGCACCATATCTGTTCTGGTCACAAATCCATTATGATTTGTTTAAAAATAGGTGTGTTACAAAGGTAAAGTTGTCCCTGTGCTTACCTAATTAAGCACTATGCCATGAAGGCGTATGGGGGAATGCATGTACAGATCCAGATTTTCTTGACCTTGGCACTAGTTTGAGTGGTCAGCTTCACTCTCCGGCTGCTTTACCCCCCATATCCATCTGATTGCAGGCTGGGTGGGCCCCAGAGCCAGTCTGGATGACAGTGGAGAACAGACAATTCTTGACCCTACTTGGACTCACACTCCAACCTCTCAGTTGTCCAGCCCCTAGGCAGTCGCCATACCAACTGCGCTATCCCAGCTCCAGTAGGTGTGTTATATATTTTTAAAACTTAGTTAGGGTTCCTGTTCTTGTTATATATTTTTAAAACTTAGTTAGGGTTCCTGTTCTTTTGTTTCAATAAAACAAGATTTGTGGAGTTTATACTCATGTTAGAACTTACAATGAAGTTATATATATGACCATCAAGAAAACTGGTGGTGACTGAGGATGGAAGAAATTTCCAAGACCAAGAACCATAGTGAACTCGGGTTCCTGCATGGAAACAACAGAATGATATAGGCCCCTTCCCTGTAGTTAACAATCTCAGAATAAGGAGTGGATTCATTCCATTCAGCACAGTCCTTCTACTAATCCTTCTTAAGACTGGAACGTTTCACTGGCATGCAGTGTAGTGTACTTAACTTTCTCAGATCGATTTATCCAGATGTTGGATTTGAGGTTCAATACTGGGGACTGTAAAGAATGCATTATTCTGGGTTGTAACACCATGCATTTCAGTATCAGTCCATTGACAGTATGCTCAAATTTCAACAAAGTGCATGGTATTACAACCCACAGCAATGTACTCTTCAATTTAACCAAACTTTACACACCGCTACAACTGTATTTCTTTCACACACATGCACACTCAAGTACATACCCATACTCACACACCTGCAAAGAATTATTTCTAAGAAAGTAGCTTTCCAGATCAAAAGTGAAAAGCAGAATCAAGGGCAAAATGAGCTAAAAGTTCCGTCCTCTAACATTATAATTGGCATTTATGACCTGACAAGTTCAAGCAATGAGTAATTCTACTGTCCTATATAATAAATTTATTTAAATTAAAATGTGATCATAAATGATATAACCATAATTTACATCACTGGGTATAAATATTTTAAATGGCATGCTCTTTGAAAAACTCTGTTTTCATCTAGGTCAATGAGGACATGGGTTGTGATTGCGACCCCATTTATGACTTTATGATTATATAATAATAATAATAATTTAATTTTAGTGGATTTATGTGACCTTTTTTTAAAATCTGGGTAGTACTGTCTTGTGTATAAATGTAAGATATCTTGTTACTTGATAAAAAACATATATGTTGAATGTCTTATGAATGATTATCTCAGGTATTTCATTAAAAGTGGTGTTCAAGGTGGAGCAAACACAGAAAAATATAATAAAGTAATTTTAACTCAGGCAAAAATTAATATGTAGTAATATGCTTTAGGTACAACTAACTCAGTCCACAACACAAATTGATATTACTTTTAATAGAAATAGTTGCTAACAAAAATTAAGATTGTACACAAAGTCCTTGCATTTAAGAACCATATCAAGCAGACATGTGGAGCGATGGAAATAAAGCTCCATATATTAAAAACAGTACTAGATGGAGGTCAATGGCCAGCCTCATACTCTGGTTCCTTTACCTTCTAGGACAATAGCAAATAATCAATATGAGGGGAGTAAAACATGCATTTCACTGTATTAATAATTCTGCAGTCACCGTTTCACCTTTCACATTTCTCTCTGCAGTCCATGCTAATATAAACTAAAGACTGTATGCACTGCCATTTTTCAACTCACAGGCTTCAAAACAAGAATCTTGAATAAATAAGACCCTGTAAGTCTCCTAGTACATTAAGTTATCACCATTAGTCAATATTAGGGTAGCCTACTCTAATCTATATATAAAATATATATATTAAATGCATAGTAACTTACAGTTGTCTTGACTGAAGTCCCTGGCAGAAGTGGCAAATGAACATTTTGAAGCATTCTCTTCATATAAAGAACAAAATATTACAAATAACACACAATTAACATACAAAAACAAATCCATACATTTCCATCTCATGGAATTCTACTGAGGTATCACCAAGAAACATGCACTGTTTGGTTGCCATGGCAACTTCAAGACTCCCAGAAAGTACTGCCATAATGAGTCATATAACTAGTGGAAAAAATGACTCCATGGATACTCTTCTTTCCCAAATTAATACCAAAAACACTCATATATAGTAATATTTCATTTTTCTTCAAAATATTAAGGTGACATTTTCAATGATTCCTAAACCATTTCTACAGCAGCAGTAGGAAATGATGTCACTTTAATAATTTGTATTTTAGAGACTTAACATTTTAAACAATTTAATTTTCCTTCACTTACTAATTTAGAGACTCCAATTTATGAATTAAACTTTCAGCTTACAAATGATAGGATGCCTGATATTTTAGGTCTGAAGTACTTGGACATGCCAGATCTTTAGGCAGTGACTTCCAGCCTAGTTTAAGAGGATACAAGAAAGCAAAATGTCATGGTTTTACAGATTTTTTTTGTTATAATTTTAATTTCTTTCATATGTAGGAAAGTGAGATATTTGACAAATGTGACATTTTTCATCCAGTGTAAAGAAATGTTTCTGAATACATATTTCACTAACTGGAATAAGACTACTGCATTCTCAGCTTCTAAAAACAAAATTCAGACTTGTAAGTTTTTGAAATGTGAATAAAATTTTCTGCCAAATTCAAAACTATGATCCCCTGAGTTGTATAACTCTCATCCAATTTAGTTGATATCACTGACAAAATGCATGACACTCATCTGCCCCTTCTCATGTCCTTGATTTGAATGTTCAGATCAAAAATGTTACAAAGTTGAACTGAGATCATCGTATCATCAAAAAATCTCCACTAGCTGCCTAGGATTTTAGTATTAATGTGTGAAACTTTCAACTCCAGGAAAACATCGAAATTCATAATTATGTTTCTTTTGATTAAATTTCAAGAGGTCCATGTGTTTAGATATGACAAGTGCCCATATCTACCCATAAATACTGAAGACATAATTTCATTTCTTTTTAATTTAGCATGTCAAAATCCATATGATGTACGCTGGAAATTTCAACAGTGCAATCCAATAAGAACGCACCTGCTACTTCATAAACAGTCAATAAAATCAAAGAAACATCAACTGAAGTACAAAGACATAACAGGTTATCAAATATCATGAAAAACTTCAGCAAGCTTCTGAACATGACAGTATGAACACACCCTGAAAATAGAAAGGAGGAAAGTACTGCAATAAATATTTCCTACAGTATATCAGGCTACTGAAAATCATGTCTCCTAGAAGTAGCATGTAAATGTCAAAATAAATTTAAAATTCTTCAAACCATTCTGAACTGCTCAAATAACTCACAGTTCAATTGTCTTATAATTTTTTTAATTAATAAGAAACGACCTATGCATGGTAACATTTATTAGTTTACTACTTTCATAATAACAGATGGCAGAGATGTTTGGCTGCTAGAAATACTTATATAACATATGAACTTACTTACTGTTACTGCCTGGTAACTTTAGCCGCGCGGAAAGGCAAACGCTGCTGTGGGGCATGCGAAGCTATACCTTTGCTGTGGGGCCGTTCAGAGCTACTCCCCGAGCGGAAAACATTGCCTCAGAGACCAGGAGTAGATATCGTGGAATCGATACAGTGCAGTGGAGCGAAAGCACTAGCTTATTGCACTTCTGGGCAGCATGACACCATATCACAATTGCAATATGTACAATGCATGACATAATAAGAAACACAGTAACTGTACAGTAGGCAGTACAAGGTACTCTATTATAAAACAAACACTACAGAACAATACCTTACAATCCTCGACAATACACGTCGAATCCACAATGTACTTCCCTGGTGACTGCAGCCGTCTGCGTCGTTTTCCTTTCGTTTCTTGTCCTCTTTTCTGATGTTTTTTACTGTGGCGTAAGATACCCCAGCATATACAGCAGCACGTTGCGTAGCTTTCGGGAGCGGCAATAACAAATGTTTACCCAGCTTTTCCTCGTCGCATATCTCTACAATATTAGCTATTACTTCCCTGGCCTCACTATGAATTGTTCCGTTGCATTGTTGGTGTGCCATGATAGTGACACGAACACCACGTATGTAATACAATCGCTATGACTGGTACCAACTAACAAGCAACACAATGTACTATACATTTGATCACATTCCAAGACGCTACATTCCAAACTGGTAGTACCCACGCTGACAAGACTGCTCCCCCCCGCTCCGCGAGAGATGGTTAGACCCCTCTACCATGGCTAAAAATACGAGGCAGTAACAGTACTTACTCATGGAGCTGAGACCTTCTGCAGCTACTCAAGAATTTCCCAGCATTTTATGGAACCCAAAGGTTCATTACTGTGTTCACAAGAACCCTCCACTGGTCCCTATCCTGAGCCAGATCAATCCAATCAACACCATCCCATCCTATCTCTCTAAGATCCATTTTAATATTGTTCACCCACCTACACTTTGTTCTTCCCAGTGGTCTCTTTCCTTTTGGCTTTCTCGTCAATATCCTATATACATTCCTTGTCTCCCCCACCTGCGCTACATGCCCTGCCCACCTCATCCTCCTTGATTTGATCATTCTACTTATACTTGGAGAAGAGTATGAGTTATAAAGCTCCTCATTATGCAGTTTCCTCCAGCCTCCTGTCACTTCATCTCTCTTTGGTCCAAATATTCTCCTCAACACCCTGTTCTCAAACACCCTCAATCTATGTTCCTCCCTTATTGTCATAGACCAAGTTTCACACCCATACAGAACCACAGGCAAAACTATAGTTTTGTATATTCTAATTTTTATGTTTTTGGACAGTAGACGAGAAGACAAAAGGTTCTGGACTGAATGGTAGCAAACATTACCCGAGTTCAATTGCCTCTTAATTTCCTCCTGAATCAGGTTTTGATCTGTTATCGTTGTTCCCAAATATCTGAATTGTGCCACATTTTCAAAACATCTGTTTCCTATCTTTATATCATCATTTTGCCTTGAATTTTGGTGACGAGACAGCAATATATACTTAGTTTTCTCAGTGTTTACTTCTAGACCAACATATGAACAGCTAATTGAAATACAAATGAGAATGAATCCTAAGCAAGTTTTATAATGGCTGTGCCATAGCTCATGCAGTCAGTTGGCGGCTTCCCACTATTGTGGCCTGGGCTCAATCCCAGGGCAGATTAAGTGGGATTTGTGTGGAAGAAGTGGTAGTGGAGCTTGTTTTCTCCAAGTACTTTGGTTTCCCCTACCAATTCTCATTCCACCAAATGCTCCATATACATCTAACACCATCAACCAGGGCTGGTACCACAGGTTCACTTGTAACTGTCATACCAAATGGACTCAGTCTCATTAATAAAAGACAAAAAACTGAAACACGAGAACTTGGAGGAGGAGGAGGGGTGTGTGTGTTTACATTATACTGTTGGTTGCTGTTCGTGGCATGGAAGCAGCAACATAATAGTACTAGTAGAAATAAACAACCTTATACAGAATCAGAAAAAGATTACAAACATAAAATTAATTCACAACACTTCTCTTCATATTACTGGCAGAAGGAATAACACCCAAACATAACGCAGTACACATGGAAACCTACCTGCATAGAAATTCAGATTGTTTCAGTACTTAACCCAACTAGCATCAACAAAAATTCTTGGAAAATTAAACATGTTAAGTATATCAGCATTTTTTATTTGTGATCATGGCAACAAATATTTTACTTCAACACAATCAAACTGAAATACCTACACTGAGAGATGTCAAGAAACTTTGATGGTAAAATATAAGGTTTATGATATAGTAGGAATGACAGATATGGAGTTTGTACTTCTATACCAAACATATTTGAATAATCAGTCATTCTAAATGCATGGCAATAATGACTACATTAAAGAGAATGCACAGTACTTTAATACAGTTTACTAAGTACTTTTGCATGTATGACAACAAAATGACACTGCACTATATGCAATGGCTTTAAATATGTCAGGATAATTTTTCTGAACACAGCACTCACCAGGTTCTTCTATATTCATTTCCTGCCTATACCAATAAACAATGATGATCTAAAACTGAATTCAAGCAAGCAGGTTTGAGAACAATTTGAATCTGAAAATATCAAAACTTAATTTTAAAGAATGGTGACTAAAATTATGTGTTGCTCCTTATGAAATGAGGGAAAGATGTATTCTACTTTTGAATTACACATTTTCTAAACATATTCCTTGCAATTTTAAGATATAACTGGCCTTAACTGTCTAGGGGAGCAATTAAAAATTTACGTCTGCTTAATGTCATTACATGTACAGTCTCACTGACATAAATCCCATTTATATAAATTATGATAGCCAAATTTTTTATCATTATTCAAATGACATATTGGTTATAATTAGATCTTGAATAAATACTATACATACATTCCATCACATTCACTTTCATTAGTTTTTCAATAAAATTTAAATGATCAAAATGAATTCAGTTTTTGAACAGGTTAATGTGCATTTTCTTCAATGACAGGAAGATATGAATACAAATAGTTCTGTTGCAGATGCAACTATATGGCTGAACAAAACTATTTACACTTTGTAACAGAGAGTCTGTGTTGGTGGTTACCATTCCCAGCTACGACAGATTCAAATAATTGTTTCCAGTAAATTAAAGTTTAACGTTGAATGACTATTGCTTGATTTTATGGATAAATCAACTTCACAAATATTGTATTGTAGTACCAATTTGCATTGTATTTCTGATTGTATTTATTCCCATCAGCACAACTTCTGTATAGGTGCACTATATGTTAATTATCTACCATGTGTTTCAGCCTTTTGGCCATCATCAGATGTGTACAATCATATTCACACTGGTCACTGTATAGGGGTGTGTAGTAGAGACAATGGTGAATGTGCACACCTAATGATAGGCAAAAGGCTGGAACAAGTAGTAAATAATTCTTGTATAGGATAGAAATAAATGCAATTTCTCAATGACACGAGGCACACATGCATGCATACCAAGTTTTCCTCACTGGTAAGACACCCAAATTTCTTTAGTTTTGCTCTGTTAATCACTATTCCACCATTGTTCCATACAAATTTATCACTGCCCCTTAGTCTCTGAACACGTAGCACATTATGTCATTGATCTTGTCCTCAGTTTTTAAGCTGGGGGATTTGTCTCTGCCCTGGTACTTGGGTGGTCATGGAATGAGGACATTAGCTCTTCTGATCCACTGAGATACCTGTGAAGACCTCTCCATGGCTCTTCACCATCACGGTCAAAGATAACATACGAGGGGGGACCCAAAAATAACTGGAAACGACCTGTTGCGCGCGCATGCTTTGTAGTTACGAGTTGTGCTGCTAGGTGGTGTTAGCTGGGGGTCTCCCGCGACTGTTAGNTGCAGTTTTCCCTAACAGAAAGCAAAATTTCACGCACACTCTTTGTTCCTTCTGGTCGGCCATCTCACTAATCGCCAAAGGGTTGAAACAGGAACGCACACAACAGAGCACCACAGACAAACCACTTAACTCAGACTGACGCCAGCTCACTAACAGTCGCAGGAGACCCCCAGCTAACACCACCTAGCAGCACAACTCGTAACTACAAAGCATGCGTGCGCAACAGGTCGTTTCCGGTTATTTTTTGGTCCCCCTTCGTATGCACAAAATGACACTGTAACACTTGGTAAAGTCACACATAAAGCAATCCTGTTTTAAGTTTTGGGGTGGAAAATTAATTCTATTTGGCAAAATAGAACCTGACATAATTTTACAAGTCCTGTATATAAATGCCCCTGATAATTTTTTCTGTGACTAGTGTTATAAATTATATCAGTGAATTGTCTGAACTCAAATTTACCATGAGCATTTCTATTACAAAGATCCAAAATCTACTTGAATATGAGTATCATAATATTAAAACTTCCACAGCATTATGGGCTAAAGAGATATAACACTTTCTGCAAAAAGAATAAATATTTTTATAATGTTCTTTTTGGACATTAACAAAGCAGATATTTCTATGTACTGTTATTGTAAAAAGAACTGCCACAAAATAAAGCAAGTACATTTTGTTTCATATCATACATGAATTTAGCATTCACTCCCATATTCAAAGTAGACATGACAAACATCTCATCCACTACAAGATGTAATAGAATTCTGATTTAAAATACCAGCAACAACAGTAGGTATGATATAAAGAACAAACACATGGGCAAATACCATACAGTATAAGCAACTGAAAATGGCAGTCACCATTTTATATGGCCATCAGGATCAGACAGAATATTAAATACACATATCACAATTCCTATTCTAAAACAACAAGATATATTATTTAGGTACCAGTACAATTAGGTTACAAGACTTTTCATAAACACTTTGGAGTTTCTTTGAGTTTTATGCACTACAATAATATTATCTTATTAAGGTGTCTGAATAGTAGTAAGCTCAATATGACAACTCTCAAAGATAAACATGTTATTAGGTTAGGTACATTCATGATCAAAGACATTCTGAGGCAGTGATTTGAGTGCAAATACAAACAGCTGAAATGTATTACACTACCAGATCAGAAGGACCAGAGCTATCAACTATGTATTCAGTTACTGTGTCTGAAATTATGGTTGTACTGGCTTACATATTTAATATAAATATGTTTGTCATGTTTGTGCTGCATACCAAGTATGAAAATGCTTCTCAAAATCTTCTGGGTGCACTGCATCACCGACCTGTGCTTGAAACTTAATAAATTCTCTACCATTCACCAGTTTTTGCCAATCATATCACACAAAACACCTCAAATGATAAATTAATTCCAATCCTAACACAGATTTATATGTGCACATTTGCATTGCAAGAGCTCAGGAATAGAATGCTTGCATTTAAAAATTAAGGACTAAATTTAAATATTAACAAGAAAATTGAGAACGTTTGGTCTTCTGAGAATATATGAAGCTGTAAGAGTGAACTACTTTCACATGCGCCACTTATACTTCTTATAATTATTATTTACTAGTTTACCACCTTTATAGGACAAGGATAAAACTAAATCTTTAAAATGTCCACTTTTGTATGAGTCTGAAATCATGCTGGGCACAATAAGTGGGGGCTGGAAGAAATGAAGACTGTTTAAGTAACACAACTTCATCATACTAATATTGCTTTAAGAAAATATATGTCATAAATAACATTAAAATCCATATAAGGTACCAAATGTTAGTGTATTCTGACTGCTCTTCTTTCAACATAGCCTACAATATTGCAAATTACTTATTACTTCTTCTGAAAGCATACTACCTCTCAGCCTCAAATTTAGCAGCAAAATAAATTTAATATGAAATTTCAACTACTAGATGAAAGCTATGGCGGACATTCATATATTCATCCATCAATGTTAGACATGCATCACTCCAACTTATACAATTCATACATATCACTCGAAACCCATAATCAAAAATTAAGTAAAAACAAAAGCTAGAAGTATTGTTAAAGAAACATTAATCCAAACTCATTTCGTTGGATGTGAGATATAATTCCTGTTTTGCAGCTACAATTTAATCAAAATTGCCAGTCATTCTTCAGAATTGTGTGCAGCAGGGATGTATAACTGCAAAATAAAGCAAATGTGGGTTCCAAAAATTAAAACATAAGAGCATAAATTGAAATAGCAGAGGAACAACTGGCAATTTAAAAGTATTAAATTAAGTCTTTATTAATATTAACTCAGTTATTAAAGAATATTAACATCAAATATTTCACAAACGGAAATAAGGAAAAGGTAATTTATCTGTCACACATAAGGAAAAAGCAAAACTGAATAATGTGATGGCATTTTAAAAAAATATTCTTATAATCTTAGAGAACAGAAAGGACTCAGCACATCTGAAGGATACATATTTTTCTAGCTCACTGAGTTTGTGACATTTTGAACAGTGCAAAATAATATATATACACATGGTAAAAAGTAAAGGTATCCCTGTAACAGGCTGTGGAGGCCCATAGGGTTGTGAGATGTTGAGGAAAAGCACTTTAATGCAGAATTTTGCAACTGGAAAAGGTCCAGCAATTCTCAACACTCATTCCATCACATTCACTTCCTAATATCACTGATTTTCCAAGTCCAAATCCTAAATGTAATAAGTATGGAAGTTATCACCCAAAAAGCATCTAAACATAATTATATCACATCAGCACACACAACAATGTTAGATAACTTACCAGTTGGGAATTCGAGAGACCTAGGTATACAGAGGATAACAGTACAATGGATGTTACAGAAACAAGATGTAAGTAGATTGGATTCAGCTAGCTCAGGATAGGGCCCTGCTGTAAACTCTTGTGAGGATGATATTAAATCTCAGGAATTGTATGAGCAGCCGAGGGACTATCAGCTTCAAACTGTAGCTGTATATTTATTATACCCCCCAAGCAGACATTTCAACGTCCTCAGATGTCTTGTGAAGGGTATCATGCACCATGTCCCACCCTGTGTAGCAGCGCAGGCCTGAAATGTGTGTAGGAGTGCGACACTATCTACTTGGCTTTCTCTTTGTTAACAATCATGATGCACTATGGATACAAATTTACTGATAAAACTATACGAGATGCTGAATGCTTAACATAAATTTTTGTTTTGCTTGTGTGATAATGTGCAACACAGTATTTTAATTGTAAGCTAACAATCTGTTCATTTTGTACATGAAACATTCCCATAGTTTCAATGGGTCTATATTAAAATTATTCCATCTGACTTACTATGATTCCACAATGTGTGGTTAGTAATCACAGAATGGTACATACTAATACACTGTAATGAAATCTGTAACAGCAGGGAATCAAAAACGAATAGAAAATATCTCTTCATTCATGGCACCACAATACGACAATAAAATAAGAGATAATGGCCAGTAACTTTTTAGGCCTGAGGGCGAGTTGTTAGTAGTTGGGTTATTCTGAAATGGAAGAAAGTTGCAACACTAACATTGACACATATCAATGTCACAATTAACTACATAGTAAGTTTCAGATAATAAGTCAATACTAGTGATCTTTCTAATGGTTTCTACCATATTTGTGAATTCTAACTTTCTGCATCAAAGAATAACTCATGACTAATAATTCACAACTCACCCTATGCAACATCAGGTGATACTGGCTTCCTTTTTCTTATTCTTTGCAGGTTTAGTCAGTTTAGTATCATTCTTCCAATTACAGTAAAATTTATCATTAGGAAAGGGTGCATTTTTATTTTCAGACGTACTGCCATAACTTGAATGTTCAAGAGAGTCAACTATAGGACTCTTCACATGCATTTTACTTTTACTATGTACTGTCACAGTTTTCAAATAGGATTTAGCAGTTTCCAGATCTTCTTTCTGTGTTCCAAGCCCTTGAATATCACTATTTTTATTTGTATGATTTTCAGGATTGTCGGTTTTCATTTGAGGGCTCCCAGATATGACAAACTGTTCCAAATCAACAGAGCTAACATCATTTGTTGGTGCGTAACTACTGACTGTCCCATTCCTGTTATAAATACAGTCTTCAATTTTAGGTATAATGTTTTGCACACATGAATGTTTCATGGGAAGGGCTTCAACTATGAAATGACTTGGGGAATTTTCATTCTGTCTAAACGAAATCTCTGACTCCTTATGTGTGCCTGTTTCTGCAAGGTCAGTGTTCAAATCGGAACATGAGATTGTGTCAAAGAGAGTAATGTTGTCTAAATGTATTTCACTATCATTTATTAAGTTGGTGGAATCAATGCCAATTTCATCCACAGTATCAATTCTTTCATTCTCTGTGCTGCCAGATTCCTCATTACTTGAAATTGCAACTTCTACTTTACCAGAATATTCAAACACTTCATTATCTCTGTCATTTTCCTGCACTAAAAACAGAGTTTTGGAAATTACAGAGAGCTTTCCAGCATTTTTAAATTCTAACTCCAGGTTGTTATTATTTTCTGGGATTTCATCTCCAGCTGTATGTAAGTCACCTTTAACTGTGTGTCCAAAGACTGTTACTCTACCATCAGAAGGTTTCACTTGAGAATGAACTGTATGTAGTGTTTCAAAATTTGACCTATTATCAAAAGTATCTATTTCACTGTCATTATTATTTCCAAACTCCTTGCCTTTGTAATTATTATCTCTATGTAAGTAAGATGACAGTTCAAACATTATGTCTTCGGTATGCTGAGACATTTGGGCTATGCTACAAATATGATTCCTTTCTGCACTACTTTCCATTTTATCAATGGAGTTATAATTTCCTACCACTTCTGATTCCTTGATCTCTTGAAGTGGTATGAAATTATCACTATTGTCCAGTGTATCAGAAACACTGTCTATTCTGTACATTTGGGTCAAATTCTTATGCTCATTTACGTGTAAACTGTCTTTGTGTAGAACCATTTCTGCTGGATTGTTGTCCCTATGTCCAATGGAATTGAGTGTTACAATACTGTTTTCCATTCTACTGGGCTCTATTCCCATTGCAGCTGGAGCTATGGCCCTACTCGGCTGTGGAGCTGCTCCGTGGGCTGATTGTCACTTGATTCTAACCTTCTGTTGAGATGTTCCTGCTACATTCTTCCCACTTCCCATCAAACTCTTGCGTCGATGCTGGTAAGTGAGTGGGACTGTAAGACGAGAGTCCAGTCGTTTGTAATGCTCATTGAAATCAAGTCGGAAACTCAGGAGCTGTAAACTCACATCTGACTGGCTAGCCAACATCAGAAGAAATTTTTTGACAACATCCTGGGAAATAGAAAACAAATCTACAGTACATATAAGTTTAAGGTTTCATTTCATAAAACAAATATTCTGAATTTTATCTGGATGCTATCCTTGTAACAGGCCATGGAGGCCCATAGGTGTGAGACATCAAGGATCCCACATTTTCTAGATAGTCGGCTCATGGATGGCAGTGAGGTTGTCAGCCTTACACATCAGCTGGCCATTATGCCCAAGAAGATTCCTGGTATTCATTTCTGCTTCATTATGAAGCCTACTGATTAGGAACTTACATATCAAATAAGTTCAGTGAACAGACATTATCAAGTAGAAGCAAAAACTGCTTTACTAGTTTAAGACATGACAAAGATGAGAATAAAGAAATGAAAAATAAGATAACAATGAGAAGTAATAAGTAAAATATACCATTTGGCAAACGTAAGATGCATTTCAAAGTATATAGAGCACAGTCATGCTGTAAATAACTCTACATGTCCATATATACATCCCTTGACTATGTATCAAATATGTCAATATATATGAAACTTTCTCTTCTTAACCTCCAACATAACACACACTTTCTAAGAAAATATCACTTCCAATGGTTCTATTATTGTTACGTTTGTATTCATTGCCATGCAAATGCATTTACTGAGAGGATTCTGAAGGGTTCTGATAATGGTGTATTACATTCAGGATTACTGGATTTTTGGACTTTGTTCATCATCTGGTATCCTAAAAAACATAAGAGAAGACAAAGTTTCAGAAACTGGATCTCTGGTGAGCAGTGGTGCTGGGTCTGTCAGAAAGTGCTAACCTCAGTCAATGGATCTAGCTCTTTCTAATGGACTCAAGAGAGTAGGCATCTCACAACCCCCACCTGAGGATGGAAAAAGATTCATTTCTGAAATGCTGTAGTCTTGTGCTGTTTTTTGGAATACCAGATGATGGACAAAGTCCAAAAACCAGTAACCAGTAACCTTGAGTGTTTACTGAGACACTGCCTCACAATGAACATCTCTTGTGCCACTATTCCAGCTTTTGAGTGTCATGTCACAATATCACGAAAAGAGAGAAAAGAAGGAAAAATGAAGACTTTGCGCTAAGCAAAAACAAAATAACCTGTAACAGAAGACAGTGTGTATCTGACATGAAAGTCAGGAACAAATCCATGAAAATGATTTTTGAAACTATAACATGAGTACATATTTGTAAAATGGCAGAAAGGACACATTTCACTGTTTCTGAGAATGAATTTTTAACATCCAGTCTAGTGCAGGTCATTCTTATTACAGGGTAGTCTAATTTAACATGTTAGAATATAAATGAAACTATAGAAAAGGCAAATATACACAACATTGGATAAATCATCTGGGTAGAATAATTAATGAAAGTATGCTGAAAAAAAGACTCTACAATGTAGTTCAAATGAATGCTGAAACTGAGGAAGACAGTGTGTGAAGTTGAAACTTGCTTGATCGCCTGTACTATATAAAGTGAAGAGGTAGAAGGAATTTTAATGTCTTATGGGGTTCTTAATGTGTAGTTTTGTCATTACTCCGATGACAACCCACTTCTTCGGAACAGTTTGTTGGCCCTGAAGAGGACCGTCGTTGCTGAGATGATTGATCGGAGAGGTAGCGCGGCGCGCGCCAGTAAGGAGAGAGGCTAGTTGCGGTGAGTGGCCTGGCCGCAGTGCGGCTGTGGCTGGAGGTTGCTTGGTTGCCGTGTGGCAGGTGAGCGGAGCGTTGCTTGATCGCAGCGCGGCGGTGCTGGTGAAAGGATAGTCGTTGAGTGCGGCCGTAGGAGTTATGAGGCAGTGGCTACGCCAGATGCCCAGTGGGTCGGACAGCAACACGACCACCGGCGAGTCCAGGCGCGGTGCCCCAGTGAGTCGGGTGTGAGAGAGCCGGAGGGCCGAGGCAGTCGTGCCTGGCGCAGCCTGCCGATGCCTCCGAAGACCGAGCGCTGGCGACGAAGCCTGCTGGCTGGTGTTCCTTGATCGTAGACTGAAGTCAACTGATGAACTGAATACTCGGCGTTGGAGCTGCCCCTTTTTATACACTGCTCGGTGGGGCGGAGCGAAACTTGAAATTGAGGAGGAAGAATTGATTGGCTAGCGCGCATAATGATGTAGATGCTGGCTAGCAGGAGGCGCTGTATAAATGCGAACGTTTGAGGCAATCTGATTGGTTAGCGCGCGTGATGGTGAAAAGTGATGTGAAGAGCGAGCGTTGCAGAAATGCGTGATAATGTGGGATGTTCCCATAGTCTTATTATGTTTTCATGATCATAGTTTCACCAGTGATCAGCCATTTTTGTTAACGTTCAAGCAAGTGTCTTTACACATTTTAACAAAAAAATAATCAATGTTGAGCAAAAAGTCAAGCATCAATTTTTATCAGCCAGATAGGCACTAATTCTACAAATGAAATATTTTACCTGATAGCTTTTGTTCAGTACTCTCAACTGTGTTCGAACACTGGGAATGTATCTCTGTTTGAAGTCCTGGCTTCGCTTTTGGTTCAGTTCTTCCTCATGGGTTGATGTCCCAAACTGGCCTTGGTTTCCCCTTTCCTCCACCAGTTCTTCATGCCTTAAAAGTGCTTGGAGTTCGGCCAGAGACCTCGAATGCAATTCCTCTTCATGAGTCTGGAGTTGCAGAATCAGTTCATACACAGTGCGCAATTGAGTAGCCAATTCCTGAAAATAATTTAAAGACAATGAAAAGTAATCTAGCAAAAACATGAAAAAAGAAAGGTAGAATGAGACTGTATTGTATAGTCTGGTGGCCAGTCCTACAACTAACCCTTTGTGAAGCCTATTATACAACTCATACTTCATGTGAGGAAGTGTAGCAGCTCAGTCACCAAGGGCAGCAATCCTAAATGTGCGGATGTTGCACCACCGAAATACATAACTCTTACAATTTCTTTATTAAAACCATCACAACACAACTATATTAATGTCAGTGCCAAGTTTGGCTCTGCTACATGTTTTGGCTACTAAAAGCCATCATCAGGCTAATACATGGCTAGCATATATACACCAGTGAACTGCAGTACTAGTAAAATTGGATACAATAATATTATGTTAAAATACTTGGCATAAAAATACAATAAATTAGACTATATAAAACAAAAGTTATAGTATAAAACAATAAAATTCTTCAAGTGATGCTTTACATCATCGAGTCAGTGGTTGGTTTTTGTGATTTTGTTGTGTTCCCACGGACATATTGGAGTATTCTATATTTTGTGTATATATAATAATGGTTAGCTTTTTTCTTTTTATTGCTAGTGGGTTGGGACTAAGTCCCGTGTACCGCGGCCACTTCTGGCCCATTGTACCAGCCCCAGATGATAGGTGAGGGTGATTGTGGAGCAATTGGTTGAATGAAGATTGTCAGGGGAAACCAAGTACTCGGAGAAAACCTGCCCCAGCGCCACTTTGTCCACCACAAATCCCACTTGACCAGACCCGGGATCGAACCTGGGCCACCACGGTGGGAAGCCAGCGACTAACCGCTTGAGCTATGGTGCGGGGGGATGGTTAGCTTATAAAGGACATTGTTTCACAGGGTTAATTAATTAACTAGAAGAGGGGAGACAAGGGGTGCATAAAGAATTTTGTAAAACAGACACTTAGAAGATTAAGAAGGAAATAGGAGGATATGATTAAAATTGACTTCTGAGAAGCAGGTTACAAGGATATGACCATAAGAGAACTTATTCAAGACTGTGTCCAGTGGCTGGCTTAGGTACTACTATTACTTTGGTGACTGTCACAGCCTTACTTATTTAAGCTCTTCATCTATTATGGAAATTACATACTTGTGAATTATCATCTAACAATGCCCCTGCTTTGACAGCAAGCAGAAAGTTCTGATGAGCAGAAATGATGTCATCAAGTGCTTCTGCTTGTTGAACTTGTTTGATGAGGACATCCCATGAGCACTCCAACACTTCAAACAGTATATAATACTGCATTTGATGGATAAAGTGGACCATCTCTGATGTCAGCAGATGTGCCTGCTGGAGTATGGGACCCAATTCTGGAAAGAGGAAAAAAAAGACATGAAGAATGAGTTTTGTGTTACTGAAAGTAATTTTCTGAAAGCCTTTACTATGTTTTTAAACATCTGAGCACATGGCTTCACGTGGTCATTGTTATGTCCAGTTTAAATTGTATTCTAGCAACCTACTGCTGCAGGCCCTAGAATACTTGATTTTATGAACTGTGAATTTGATTCACAGGAATTTTTATGCAAAAAATGAAAAGAATGTATCATATATGTTATGATACAAGTGTCTCCAATTATGTCGTCTATAATATGTTGATGTTTGATTGTGGCTGGCTGTGTTTTGCTCCTAAGTTCATTTAATGTTTTATTCTTAGGATGGTTATGGAGTGTAGTATTTTGAAGTTTTCTTGTATTATCTTGTTACATTACGTTGTGTCCTTAATCATGTCCTTCCATTATCTGACTATAATTGTGTTGATGGATTTGTAGTCTTTATTCGAGCTTTTGCAAACGTGTTTGCTTTTGTTGCCTGTTGGGTTCCAGGAAAAACAAAACTCATGTACAGTAATAACACACAACAGGGTGCATCCCTTATAGATAACAGACAAAATATATCTCCATAGCAATTGCAGATCTCAATGCTGTTTCAATGTCATATTATGTAATTATTTTTATCATGACCCAGTTTTTATAAAATTGGTAAAGTAATCAAATTTCATCAGTATTTTAATATGAGCTATGAACATGAAATTTTAAGACAATGCATCTTGAAATAAATTATTTGCACAGCCTTAGAATTGTTAGAAATTCTATGATATTTTCATGCGATACTTTTAAGGAAATAAAATTACATAATTTCTTGGGGGCAGAATGTAAAACAATCTTTTCTGCATCTGATTATATATATATATATACAGTAGACTCTCGATTATCCGCGGTAATGGCGGGGAGACTTGGCGCGGATAATCAAAAACATCGGATAAACCGAAGTACACATATACAAGCCAGATATACCGGTATAAATTTAACATCGTTAATTTTTTACACCATAAAACGCTACTTAAGCTTACCTTTTGTGATGCAGGCCAATGGTTCTTCATTATAAAGCTTCTGAAGTACGGTACATAGCCTATTATAGTTGAAACTGTTCTATTGTAGATTTATACACTGAAATACACCTACACTGTAATTTTAACCACACTAATATCCTAATGCCGTAACACGAAAATAATTGAATCTAATACCATTATACAGTACTGTGCACTAAAA